AAAGGAGGCCCAAACAAATATTAGTCAGCCCATCTCCAATCATTTTCTTTTCTTTTCTTTTTTTTTCTTTTTCTTTTTTGACAGAATGTACAATATATTTGAAAGAAATATAGTAGAGGAGAAAAACTCATGGAGTGCATACTAAGGTCTAAAATATCGATGGTTTTGAAAATATCGATAGTTCAAAAACACAGAAATTTCGATGAAAATATTGAGATATTATCGATATCGATAAAAATTGAATAAAACCCACGGAAATTGTAAGAAAAACTTGAAAAAATTCTTGAAACTTTGGAGGATGTTTATTTAACCAATTATCTATTACTTTATCACAAAAAATTGGAAGGAAATACATTGCATGATGGGTTTAACTTATTTAAATTGATTATATAGAGACCCGACAAACACTGGGAGTGTAGAAAATATGTAGTAACTAATGAAAAAATATTAAACACACCATAATCATTTATTTATAATGATTTACTACAATATTTTACACTTTATACATTGCATGATAAGATACATTAGTGACTTAGTACCCACATAGAGTTTCTATAAGGTTCAAATTGAGTTATTTACACTAACACCCCCTGAGGTTTTATATTATTTTCACAAAACTCCTTTTTATTGATTTTTCATCCAAAGATTGATGATTTTATACAAAAACATTCTCTAAATGACAAACAATCAACGAAAAGGGGTTTTGTGAAAACAAACTAAAACCCCTGAGGTGTTCTTGTAATTTTTGAGACCTTAGGGGTTTTGTGAAAACACAAGAAACCTCAAGGGGTGTTAATGTAAATAACTCTTTAAATTTTTCATTGTCTCGATATTTTCGATAATATATTATCGATATTATAGCGATATTTTGGCCAAATGTTGTTGAAGTGTGAGAGAAATTATCGACGTCGATATTTTTCGATATTATCGATACTTATACAATATGTGTATGGATATGTTCCAAAATATCCTAGATCCAAAAAAACGATAATATCCTCGATATTTTATCGATATTATCGATATTTTAGTCCTTGCTCAAAACCAATGGAAAAGTTACAAAATGACTGAATTGGAACACATGCGAGAGTTGGAGGACCAAAATGAAATTTCCAATATGAATTCAGGAATCATTTCGGTTAAAATTTCTATAATTAAATCTTTAAAATACAACTAATTTCCAAATAATACATATATTATTCAACACCTAGCATTTAATAATAATGGATTGGGCCCTTAGCGAGGAACAAAATTAATTGGCTTACTAAATAATAGGTATCGTAATCCCCGAATATTCAACTCTAGATTTTCTACCAATTTTGTTAATCAAAATGGTATTTCTCCCCTTTTATATAAAGCCATATTGTGGGTGTAGTTAGCCATAACTTGGTGAAGGTGAACCATGTATAGATATTGAATGATAATGTAAAGAAGCCAACTTCAAAACAAGGACGAGAGGTTTTTTGAAGGAAGTGAGTGAGCTCACGTCTTATGTGGTGCGAGTGCTTTTGCCCCATATGTCTGGTCTTCTCTTGTAATTGTGGTGCAAATGATCAAAGCACTCGCATCTCTTAATGTGGTGAGTTCACTCACTTTCTTCAACAAACTTTCCCTTCCCTATCTAAACAGGTTGCACAATGTTGCTTTTGACGAAGTACAACAAAGTGGGCAATGGAACATGAACCCAACTTAATAGGTACCCCTTTTTGTGAAGTTTTTCATTGATTTGGTTGCTTAAGATTGAGTAAAGTTTTGGAATTGTTTGATACTTTGTAGCTCCATTTACTTATTGTTTAATGATAATTTTGTATTCATATTATGATTTTCTTGTTGATAATGAGTTTGTAGATATTAAAATTTTGGGCTAACGACAAAAGACCCACTGAAGGTTTGAGGTCATTCTTAATATGGGACCTGGGGTTTCAATTTGCACCCCAATGTTTTCAAACCTGTCCAATTTAATCATTTTGTTAAGTTGACTGTGAGGTCAACTGTTAACTGATGACATGGCCACTGTGGGACCCACCCATCAACTAACTGACCAATCCCTTTAGAACATCTCAAGGGTATTTTCAAGTTGGAGATAGGAAAAAAATTTCCTTTATCAATTTGCCTTTAACCCCCATAATCATCCTCTCTCTTCCCCAGCCACCTTCTATGACCCACCCCACAAATCTGTCGCCGACCTACCCCAACAAACCATCTCCAACCCAGCCCTCTCACAAAAATCCCACACACACACACACACACACACACACACACACACACACACACTCTCTCTCTCTCTCTCTCCTCTCTCTCTCTCTCTCTCTCTCTCTCTCTCTCTCTCTCTCTCTCTCTCTCTCATAGTGGCTCACAGAGTAGGGCTTCGGATCTAGTCGTGGTGGCCGGGGGAAGGTCTGGGTGAGCTTTCCACAGAGATATGACGAGCTGGGCTCGAAGTAGTGGTGGTGGTGGTGCAATGGAGAAGATCTAGGTTAGGTTCCAGGTACATGTGTGGGTTGTTGGTACAAGTGTTAGTTGTGAGTGAGGATAAATGGTGGCTTGGGATTGGGGTAGGTGGGTACGGAGGTAGGTAGGTGTTGGTGCGGTGGTTGAGGATAGTGGAGGCTAGGTTTAGGGTTTTCTTTTTCTTTCTTTTTTCTTTCTATTTTATGTTATTTTATCATGTTGTTTAATTGATTTCTAATTTTTTAAAGTATTTAAGGAAATGTTGGTGTAGGTTTATAAAGGATTTTTTTTTCCTATTTTTCAACCCGAAAATACCCTTGAGATGTTGTAAGTGGACTGGTTAGTTAGTTAAAGGGTGGATCCCATAGTGGTCACGTTAGCAGTTAATGATTGACCTCACAGTCAACTTAACGGAATGATTAAATTGGACAGGTTTGAAAATATTGGGGTGTAAATTGATAAAATTGAAATTTCGGGGCCCCTATTGAGAATGATCCTAAACCTTCGGGGGCTTTTTGTCATTAGCCCTAAAATTTTGGTGGTCAATTATTCAAAGTTTGACCACATGACTAGTCAAAATTGACTCACTCATCAATGCAATGCAAGCTGTTGAAGGTGGCACATGTTAACATTTAAAAACCTGAGATCACTGGTTTGCAAGTCGTGGCCCTTTCTCATTGGGGTAAACCTCATTGGGTTGGTTAATGTCACTTCGAAAATTATAAACACAAATTCAAAAGTCGTTCGATTCAGTGACTGCATATTCAAGGCTCTTACAACCAAATTCAAACCGATCTATTTCTAGTCTTGTCCAATTTTTTGCCAATTTTATATAAATAAAAAATGTATAATAAAACTGCACAAAACCAGACTAATCAATCTAATTAGCCAGTCTTTTGATTTTGTCAATTTAAATGCCCAGCCGTAGTCACTAGATCTAGGTTGGGTTGTAGGCACATGCGTGGGTTGCTGGTACAGGTGTGGGTTGTGATTAAGGATGGGTGGTGCCTTGGGTCTGGGGTAGATGGGTATGGAGGCATGTAGGTGTTGGTACGGCGGTTGGGGAGAGTGAGGGCTAGGTTTTGGGTTTTCTTTTTCTTTCTTTTTTCTTTCTATGTTATGTTATTTTATCATGTTGTTTAATTGATTTCTAATTTTTAAAAGTATTTAAGGGTCCGTTGGTGTAGGTTTATAAAGAAATTTTTTTTCCTATTTTCAACCCGAAAATACCTTTGAGATGTTGTAAGAGGACTAGTCAGTTAGTTGAGGGGTGGATCCCACAGTGGTCACGTTAGCAGTTAACGATTGACCTCACATTCAACTTAATGGAATGATTAAATTGGACAGGTTTGAAAACATTGGGGGTGTAAAATGATAAAATTGAAATCTCGGGACCCATATTGAAAATAACCCCAAACCTTTTTTTTGTCATTAGTCCTAAAATTTTGGTTGTCATTTATTCAAAGTTTGACCACTTAACTAGTCAAAATTGACTCACTTATCAATGCAATGCAAGTTGTTGAAGGTGGCACATGTCAACATTTGAGAACTTGAGATCACTGGTTTGAAAGTCGTGGCTTTTTTCCCGTTAGGGTAATTCTCATTAGGTTGGTAAATGTCACTCCGAAATTTATAACCAAATTCAAACCGATCTTTTTCTAGTCTGGTCCAATTTTCCACCAATTTTATATAAATAAAAAATGTATAATAAAACCGCACAAAACCAGACTAATCAATCTAATTAGCTCGTCTTTTGATTTTGTCAGTCTAAATGCCCAGCCGTAGTCACTAGTGCTCGTTTTCCTCACGTTGTGCATAGGTTTATATATATAAACAAAAACAAAATTACTTTTACATGAGCATCTCCAAAGGAAGAGGCAAAGGAGTAGAAAAAACCTCATTTGCCTTGCCACATCAACATTTTCATGCTTTAAGGGAACAAGCAAATGGGTAGACAAAATATACATACTCTCCCCAACAAGGTAATACTGCCTACTTCATAATGAAGAGGTATATTAAGTCCCACTTGCTTTTTATAATGAAATATCATCTCCACTCTCTCATCTACTTTCTATAAATTATAAATGTAAATGTAAAAAATAAAAATAAATAATATAATAATAATTTGTACACTTGCATAGCCTAGTCCCTTTGGAGTGACCAACTTTTTTCATGAGGCAAATGGATAGACAACATGTCACCTAAATTGTTATAATACAATTTTGCCTATTTCATTTACACACTCACTTGGAGATGCTAGGCAAGCAAAAAAAGGGACTAACAGAAATTATCCACTTATCCCAAATGCCACCAAAACATTCATCTTCCTGTTTAATGAATTTAATCTCATCAACGCCAATGGGGGAAACCACGAAATTGGGAAGGCAAGCATAGCATCTACAAATGGCAAATCTAATCAAAATGCTTATACACTTAAATCCGTCAAAATCCAATATGGAAACTACAGCAAGATACAACCCTTCCAAAATTCCACTATTGTCAAAAGTCACTACCACAACAAATACGAAGATACTGCATTATATCAGTACAACTCAGATTTCCCCCAGATAGATCTGTTTATCACTACCGCAAGATCCAATAATGGGTTCAGTGGGATGGAATACAGACTCATTGACAGATCCGGTGTGGCCAGGAAGCATATACAAGATGCGTCGAGAAGTAGTATCCCAAACATAAACCATCCGATCAGAACTTCCCGCCGTGACCTTGCTTCCATCAGGGGACCAGCTACATTTCAACAAGTTCTTTTCAAAATTGTGCTGGTGCCCTTCCATTATCTTCACGCAACGATTCTGTGGTGCATATGGGCGCATATCCCAAATGCAGAGCTTGCAGTCCATTCCATTAGTCAGAAGATAAGAGCCATCAGGACTCAATGCCATACCTGTTATCATATCTTGATGGCCTTGAAGTGTCATCATTACTTCAGCCTTGCGCAAATCCCAAACTTTAATATCATTGTCAATGCCTCCGGTAAAGATTTTATCTGATGCATCAGAGAAACTGACAGCTGTAATTTGATATTTATCGGGAAATGTTTGGATGGCACCCCTCAGACGCATATCCCATAGTTTGGCAGTTCCATCATCAGATCCACTGACAATAAGAGGTGGTCCCCTTCGAGCAGGATGGCAAGAATTCACAAATGATGAGTGTTCTGCCATCTTTTTTATTCTTTTCCCTGTTTCAACATCCCATGCCCCCACAGTCTTGTCTGGACTGGCTGATATTATCTGAGACCCATCGGTTGTCCAGTGAAGATCCAATACAGCATTCTTGTGCCCCTTCAAAACCATAAAGTTCTTGCATTCCCCATGAACATTCCATAAGAAAATTTCTTTGTCATGAGACCCAGATGCAACAACTGTTCCAGCAGGATTAAATTTCATTGTGTATATAGCACTCTGATGACCTGTCAACAACATGATTGGCGATTCCAAACTGGAAGTCCTTTGTTTTCCATTTGGCCCAGGTGCCGGGCGAGCACTATGCGTAGACAACTCCATTGGCCTTGGACCAACTACGGACAAAGCAGTTTCACCCTCACTTGGAGCAAATTGCATCATTGCCTCTGTTTGGTATTTCAATAGCAAACGATTTATTTTCTATGAGTTCAAATCCTGCAATACAAATGAAATGAATAAGCAAATTTGTCATAGCATAAATTACTTAAGACAACAGAAATGACGGCAGGTACTGATAGACTAACAACTGACAACATTATAAAACTCAAGTCACATAATAATCTAAACCACTGCATGTACTGATAGACACGAGTAAAGACGGAAACTACCCTCGTCTACTCACTTCTTTTGCTTTTACTGTCTTTCATTGATGAAGAGGTCATATGCAGTTTTCCTATCCAAAGCATACAGGTTATGCACAATGGAGCATATAGCTCGTTTTATAATAATCCAAACCATGTGTTTTCAAAGAAGAACTAGGATTAACTTTTGAAAAGAGAAAAGGCAAATGACCTGTTGTGAACCAGGTTTATGCGGAAAGTGAAAAAAGACAAATGAAGCCTGAAAAATCTGACTTTCTCTTCAGAAAACTGAAGCTTTCTTCTTTCATTTCCATGATTCAACTACAATGACGGGTTATAGAATTCGTAAACTGAGTTTTGAAGATCTTATTTATCAACGGAAAAAAACAAAAACAAAAAAAGGAATTGCTTCTGTTGTATTCCAACTTCTGGTTATAAGGTATAAACTTTTACGCTTGGGTTTCATACTGGTCTAGGTATCAGTGAAAGTATATATCTGAAGAATTTGTTGTTGCAAAGAAGTGATAATTGCAATGGAAAAATAGGTGTTGGTGGGACTTTTAGAAGAATCAACTATTTGCCTCCAATTCGGCGCAAAAACTTCCTCCACAAGAAAAGCACAATAGAAAGAGAGAAAATATTGCCCCTCTTTTTCCTACACAACCCCATTCCATAAGCCAGGGGAAAAGGATAATCGTCTACCAAATTGAAGCAACACTCAACCATCACTAGCTTCATTATGACCAAGATATAGGAAAAATGCATCAATCCATTTAGTCATAAAATTCACAGGAGCTCAAACATAGCCATAAATAAACCAAATTAGTTAAAACAACGACTGGGTGAACACAGTAAATAAAAGGCAGGGCAGCACAACACACACTAAATTACTGGATGCCATGAGCTCAAGCTTAATCTAGATTGCGAAAGTGGCTACATCTGACTTTTAAATATCACTCCACAATTTGGAACAAGTGCCCCTTTAACAAAACTGGATTTAGAAGTTGGTACCAAACCAAATTGAAACTACTTGTTGTTTGTTTTTTTTTTTTTTTTTTTAAAAACCCAAACTCACACAGAATTCAAAACATCAAAACGGATTCAAACCAAATCGAAAACAAAATAAAAAATTGAAACAAGGGAAGAAAAAAAAAAAAAAAAAAAAAAAATATTTAGTAAAAAATAAGAATAAAAGTGTAAAACTAAAAAAAAATAACAAAAAGCAACCGAAGGATTGGTATTTTCATTGACAACACAAGATACATATATGCATCATATGGATATATACAGAGAGATGGCTTTTTCTAATGAGAATCCCTTTAGCAGGACCGAGGACTTTCGAACTGTGCCTCTAGCTCTTCTAAAGAGTTTTAAAATTGACCAAGACACAGAAGTTTAGAGCTTAGGGTATAGGTTCTACCACTAGGACTTTAAGCTATCCCCAAACCTAAGAGTTTAAACCTAAGCACTAAACGGCTTCTACAATCTAAAACCATCAACCCATTGATGGAAAATGGCAAAATATTCACATATATATGTCTCTGTGTCTGTGTCTGTGTGTCAATGTTACAATCCTAGGTAAAAAACCAGGTAAAGAATCTTACAATGTACTCAACTTTTTCCCCTGAGCTCACTGAGACAGAGGGATTCTCAAATGTCAGTACAAACACTAAGTTATAGCATCCCCACTTAGTAACCACTCTGCTAGTTCACGCAAATCCGGAGAAGTTATCCCGGACAGTCCCATTTTCTATCCCAATACTCTTTTTTTTTTCTTTTCTACGAACTATCTCATAAACAAAATGTACCATCAATTCAACAGAAGAAGCCTACAAGTCTATCCAACCTTCCCCATCTAAAAATTCAAACCCAATTAACAAACTAATAGATATTGATGTCAAACATATGGCCATTTCACATCATTCAAGGCACAATACAGAAACCAAAATCCATGTAAGCCCATAATGTGGAGTATTAAAGTTAGCACAAGCCCATTAGAGTAGAGCTATAAGAACAACATAACAAACCCTAGTTTCTTGTTAATTCCTCTTTGCAATAGTTATGTGAAAGCATAACAGATTTCCCCCCAATTATCCCTAGTTTCTTATTATAGTTTATGAGGGAAGCCTTTACAGAGCTCAGTTAGGAACTTAGGGCACAGGGTTTTGCACAAAGCATCTCACAGAATGAGAGGGAGACACAGAATGAATGAGAGAGAGAGAGAGAGAGAGAGAGAGAGAGAGAGAACCTGGTAGAGCTGTATCTGATAAACCCTAGAGGCTTCTTCTTCTTCCTCTTAGCAGAGCTCGATCTGTCCTGAAACTATTCGAATTGCATCCGACATAATGGCAACGTCGTCGTTTTCTTCTCTTAATATACCACTGTTTGATCCACTATACGACTGTACTGTACGTTTCGAATGGTTTACGGCTCATTGGGCTCAAGTGCCGCCCAAGCCCAAACCAAATTTAGAGTTTTCAAATCCAACGGCCTATATTAATTGTATTCAATCTCAATGGCTAAAAATCAAATCCAACGGCTGATTCTTAAATATAAGGAATATTTTTTTCAATATTACTCAATACATATCAACTCTGCCTAAATCGACGGATCCAATTTAATCCTCTTAAATTGACCGATCTAATTCAATTTTATCCAATTTTGATCGGTTTAGATAGTTAGGTGAATATGATCGAATCCCTAAATCAAACAATCAGCATGATTGGATTAGTTGACGAATTTGCTTGATTGATTCCATTTGGTTTTTAATGTAATTTTTTTTTTTTTTTTTTTTTTTTTTTTTTTTTTTTCTTTTATATGGCAGTTGGAATGAATATTATGAACAATTTAAAGTCATTTGATTGCAACGACGTCTAATACACCATAGAATCAAAACACTTTCCCTTAGCATTTAACTTCTATTTTTCATTTGCATCTACCAAAATGTGTGATTCAATTAGATTTGACGAGAATTTGTTCACATTCCAATATTCTTAATCCATTAAACTGATCCTGCAATCTAAGCTCCAATACAAGCTCTTGTTTGGAAAGAAGAGGCAAATAAAGCATGTAATTCTCATGTGTTACAACTTCAATATCCCCGAATCCCCTAATTGCCTCTCTTCTTTCTCTTATCTTTAATCAATTTGCTCTCATCAAACAAACTACACAGCCCTGTCTTGCCTGCCATGAGTCACAGCCTCATCAGGGATGTACTTGCCCCAAAACCAGTGTGCCTTCCAAACTCTGTTCATCTCTTCAATGGGCACGTTCTTTGTCTCAGGCAGGAAGAATGTGATGAAGATGGTCATAATGATCACAAAGCCAGCAAAGAAGAAGAAGAGACCAAACTTCAAGTGGCAAAGCATGGTGAGAAACACTTGGCCGATGAGAAAAGTGAACAACATGTTCACTGAGACGTTGATGGCTTGTCCGGCGGATCGGATCTCCAGAGGACAGATCTCACTGGGCACCAGCCACCCCAATGGCCCCCAAGACCAAGCAAAGGCTGCTACATATGCACAGATCAAGAACAAGATCCAATTGGCTTCACCTTTTGAAAATGCTCCTTCTCCACTCACACCAAACTTCATGCCTATCATAACTCCAACAGCAATCTGCAATGTATGAGTAAATGTTAGTGCAAGTTCTTTTGTTTTTTCTTTCATACCAGTGATATTGGGGGAGGTGGGATTCAAACACAGGACTTCAGGTGCATGGATAACTGCTCTTAACCACTTAAGCTACAAGCCTCTGTGCAATCTATGTCCTTTGATGATAAATTTTTTATATTAGTTGAGCATATGGAATTAAATACCTGGCAGATGAGCATTTGCACACCACCTTGAAGGAATAAGACTCTTCTTCCAAACCTGTCGACTGTGAAAATGGACACTAAGGTAGCAACCACATTAACGCTGCCGGTGATGACAGTGGACATGAGGGAAGCTTCATTTCCAAACCCCAACGTCATGAAAAGAACAGGTGCATAAAACATAATCACATTGATGCCGGTGAGCTGCTGGAAGAACGGAACAAGAAGGCAAATGACAAGCTGAGGCCTATATCTTGGTTGTGTGATGTTGCTCCATTGGTTCTCCACTCTTTTTGCAACCTCAGTAGCATCAAGAAGGTCTTGGAATTCCTCATCGACGTCATCGGTGCCACGAATCTTTTTCAACATTTTCTTGGCCTTCTCAGGGTGACCTCTTTCTAGGATGGAATTTGGAGTGTCGGGAAGAAAGATTGCAGCAACAGTCAAGATCAAGGAAGGGACAGCTGCAAGAGCCAAAGAGACTCTCCAGCCATATCCACCCTTGATCTTGGCAGTGCCGAAGTTAACAAGACCTGCCACTAGAATGCCAATGGTAATGGCCATTTGAAACCCCATGTTCAGTGCTCCTCGAATCTTTGTTGGAGCCATTTCCGCTAGATAAACAGGAACAGACTACAAACCAAATGGAGAGTACAAATTAATTATCTAGCTAGCTACCTCTAAACTTCAAGTAGTGTAGAGAGATCATATTTTCACATCACATTGGCGAACTACAGTATATGGTAGATGGGGTCCTATTATCACATAAATTTTTATGTTGTGTTGATAATCAACACATCACCTGCCACATAATGTGGTAAACGAATATGGTCTAAAAATGTGATATCTCTTAAGACCTGTACATTTAATTCTTTAATCAAATGTGTAAGCGAGATATATAGAGAGCTATAAAGAAAATTAATTAAAGACAGAAGATTTGTTGTATACCTGATTAGCAAATCCAACACCAATACCAAGCAGCAGGCGACCAATAATTAAGAGCACAATGTTATTGGCAACACCATTCAGGACAGAGCCAATAAGAAAAACAAGGCCAGCCACAAACATGGAGATCTTTCGTCCAAATTTCCTAGTTACTGATGAAGCAAAGAAGGAAGCCACCAATGCTGCAATGTAGAGGCAAGAGGTGAACAACGTGAGGAGTTCGCTATCGAATTTGCAGTACTGGTTTTGATCAGCAGACTCATTCTTCATTTTGTGGAACACAGAGGGGAAGAACTTGCTCAAGAACGACTCCATTGAAGTCACTCCTCCTGCATAGAGAAAACTTGTTTTAATGTAATCTCAATCCTCTTGTTTTTTTTTCTTTTCTTTTGATACAAGCGATATTAAGGGAGAGGGGATTCGAACACAGAACTTCAGGTGCAGGGTAACTGCTCTTAATCTCTTGAGATACGTACAAACCCCTTGCAATGTAATCTCAATTCTCTTAAACATAGAGAAAAAGACACAATTAATTGATGTGTTTGTGTGTTTCTGAAATGGTGTTCCAATTACCTGAGATTCCAAGATCATATCCGAAGAGGAGACCTCCCATTGCAGCTGCCATACAAGTGAAGAGCACAAAGATGGTGACACCTCCTTCATAGCTCCTTCCTCCACCCTCCCCGACGAAACCACCTCCTCCTGCCATCACTCTTCAAAGTTTTCAAGTCTATAACCTCTTTGAAGTTTAAGCAAACCCACTCTCAAGAAGAAGAGAAAGATAATGTAAAGTTTATAAAGGCGCCAAAGGGTAGCAAGCTTGCCTGCCTAAACAAACTGACCTAATAATCCTACAATTATTTTCTAGATTGTGAAATTCTTTCCTTCCTTGTTATACATGCCATATTTATGTCCGAATGGTTGAACCTGTGAGGATAAGGATCACGGCAAATTCTTGTTTTTGGATTAGAACAAGATTAAGTACTTGATTTTTATTTAAACCATTTTAATGTTTTGGAACTCTAAATTTGGCAATCTGATGAATAGGATTACAAATTATTTCGTATGGATAGAATTTTGAATGGCGAAATCTTGACCATTAATTATTCAATTTAACATCCAACTATTTGATTGTTATTGTAAAAAAGTTTGAGGTTTTGACAGGGGGTTTTAGCTTGACTCAGCTTTCTATATCAGAATTCTGGTTAATTATATGGTTAAAGATATGTTCATATAATATTCAAATTTACAGTATGGTTTTTCATGGCAATGCCTGTCAGAGTTTGACTAACAATAATCACACATTGCCAAATTTAGAGCTCCAAACAGCAGGACTGGTTTGATATCAGCAACTACTTATCTCAATCTAATCGAAACAAGAATTTTATCTACTGTTATATCCTAACATATCCAACCATTCATACCTAAATATGGCAGCTTCACAAGAATTTAGTCCAAAGTTGTTGAAACAACCGGGCAGGTTGTTGCATTTTGGGGCCTTTATATGCTTGAACATTCTGGGATTTGAAATGTAATTAAGGAACAAAGATAGGATCAAAAGATTTATACCTTTGTTTCTTCTTATTGATAGTGGATAGCAAAGATTTTTGACAAAATCATTTGGCTAAGTATATTTAAACTTCAAAGAACTTTCAGACTGCAAGACTTTGTAGAGCAATGGCTGGAGGAGGTTTTGTAGGCGGAGGCGGAGCGAGGAGCTATGAAGGCGGTGTCACTGTCTTTGTGGTATTCACCTGTCTCGCAGCAGCCATGGGAGGTCTCCTCTTCGGATACGATCTTGGAATCTCGGGTAATTTGGAACACCATTTCATACACACAACAATTAATTGTGTTTTTTTCTCTATGTTTAAAATAATTGAGATTACATTAAAACAAGTACTAAACAACTTTTCTCCATATGCAGGAGGAGTGACCTCAATGGAGTCGTTCTTGAGCAAGTTCTTCCCATCTGTGTACCATAAAATGAAGAATGAGTCTGGTGGTCAAAACCAGTACTGCAAATTTGATAGCCAACTCCTCACGTTGTTCACGTCTTGCCTCTACATTGCAGCATTGGTGGCTTCCTTCTTTGCTTCATCAGTAACTAGGAAATTTGGTCGAAAAATCTCCATGTTTGTAGCTGGCGTTGTTTTTCTTATGGGCTCTGTCCTAAATGGTGTTGCCAATAACATTGTACTCTTAATTATTGGTCGCCTGCTGCTTGGTATTGGTGTTGGATTTGCTAATCAGGTATACATATCTTCATCTACCGTATAATGTGGTTCGCTAATGTGATCTCTCTAGCATTCCTCGATTTATAGAGCTAGCTGGCTAATTAATTTGTAATCACCATGTCGTTTGCAGTCTGTTCCTGTTTATCTAGCGGAAATGGCTCCAACAAAGATTAGAGGAGCGCTCAACATGGGGTTCCAAATGGCAATCACCATTGGCATTCTAGTGGCAGGTCTTGTTAACTTCGGCACTGCCAAGATCAAGGGTGGATATGGCTGGAGAATCTCTTTGGCTCTTGCAGCCGTCCCTTCTTTGATGATGACCCTTGCCGCAGTGTTTCTGCCTGACACTCCAAATTCCATCCTAGAAAGAGGTCACCCTGAGAAGGCTAAGAAAATGTTACAAAAGATTCGTGGCACCGACAACGTCGATGAGGAATTCCAAGACCTTCTTAATGCTACTGAGGTTGCAAACAGAGTTGAGAACCAATGGATCAACATCACACAACCAAAATATAGGCCTCAACTTATCATTTGCTTTCTCGTTCCATTCTTTCAGCAGCTCACGGGCATCAATGTGATCATGTTTTATGCACCTGTGCTTTTCATGACGTTGGGTTTTGGAAATGAAGCTTCCCTCATGTCCTCTGTCATCACTGGCGGTGTTAACGTGGTTGCTACCTTAGTGTCCATTTTCACAGTCGATAAGTTTGGAAGAAGAATCTTATTCCTTCAAGGTGGTGTGCAAATGATCATCTGTCAGGTACTTAATTACATGGTCAATTGAATGAAACTAATTTCTTTTAATTAAAACTTGATTTCTAAAGGGCATTTTTCTAACTAAACTTGCACTACACACATTGTAGATTGCTGTCGGAGTGATGATAGGCAAGGAGTTTGGTGTGAGTGGAGAAGGATCATTTTCAAAAGGTGAAGCCAACTGGATCTTGTTCTTTGTATGTGCATATGTAGCAGCCTTTGCTTGGTCTTGGGGGCCATTGGGATGGCTAGTACCCAGTGAGATCTGTCCTCTGGAGATCCGATCCGCCGGACAAGCCATCAACGTCTCAGTGAACATGTTGTTCACTTTTCTCATCGGCCAAGTGTTTCTCACCATGCTTTGCCACTTGAAGTTTGGTCTCTTCTTCTTCTTTGCTGGCTTTGTGATCATTATGACCATCTTCATCACATTCTTCCTGCCTGAGACAAAGAACGTGCCCATTGAAGAGATGAACAGAGTTTGGAAGGCACACTGGTTTTGGGGCAAGTACATCCCTGATGAGGCTGTGACTCATGGCAGGCAAGACAGGGCTGTGTAGTTTGATGTCCTACTCATTTTCTTGCTTGTAAAACCAATAAAATCGTACTATTGATTTGCCTCTTCCTATTCAAACATAAATTATCCTTGTACTTTATCATTTTCATTATCATCAACGATTGTACTAATGCACGACGTCAAAGATATATCTTCAATTACCTCTTTGGTTACCAACTAACTATTAGTCTAGTTGTTTATTTTTTCCCAATGTTATGTCCCAAGCTCAAATCTTCCCTCCCCATTTATTAAAATCAAAAGATAACTTGTTAGGTTTTATTTATGAAAAATAGCTTTTAATATATATATATTATATTGACACTCCAAAAAAATCATCTTGCACTGCTCCTCCTTCTTTATAAAAACATAAGCGGGAGCGCATAACGACTTTTATAGAGCGCCAATAACAGCTCCCAAAGTAATTATAAAAAAAACTTATTTACTAAACGATATTTGACGAGAACCAAATAAAATAAAGGAATGGCTATATTCATGCATAATGTCTGGTACTCTGTTTCCATAGTGATGAACAATACCTATGACGTTATCTGGCATTTATAAATTATTTCTATTTAGTCTATAATTTTCTCTACACCACATTTGGCTTCATTTCTTGATTACATTCTAGTGTTCATTTTGACAACCAAAATACTATCTTTTACATTTATGTGCTCCATGAAGCATACTCCAGTCCAGATGAGGAGTAAATCAACAGAGCTAGTCTAATGATAATTTTCGGAAATTTACAGCTCAAATTATACAATTGAATGCCAAGTATAATACACTAAAAATAAAAAATAAAAACAAATGGGAAGGGAGTATTGATATTACACACAAGTTGAAGCTGATGGAATTGGCACCTCTGCTTATCCAAATGGAAGTGTAACTATGCAACTGATACTGACTCCAATAAGCATCCACATACTCTTTCAGCTTCACTTTTGTAATTGCTCCTTCTCTCCTACTTTCTGGAACTTCCTGTCCATTCGTAAAGAGAATCAAAGCTGGCAACCCATAAACTTTGTACTCTTCAATCAGTTTTGGGTTTGCATCATGATCAATCTTAACAACTGTTAACCTGTCTCTGTATTCCTGAGTACAACAAATAAACTCATATATCAGATCATTTGTATAGATTGGATAACGATCCAAGGCAAATTGACAGCATAAATAATTTGAAAGATGCAACTTGTCCTCCCATTTCTTCAAGACATTTTTCCAAACCTTGTTTCAAAATGATCATACATTTCTTCGATTGTGGCACCATCCGAGCCATTTCTGTGAGTCCTCGAACTGGGGTGATGCCGGAAATATTTTTTATACAAACATTGTGTGTGTGTGTGTGTGTGTGTTTTTTGTTCATAACAAGAAGTAAAAACAAGCATATCTGGGAGAGAGACAGAGAGATGAAGTGCTATCCAAAACTATTAAACAAAAATTGGGTTTCTGGACTCTTAAACAAAGCAGGGGACCTTTAGCCTATAGTTTACACTTTTGTTTTCTTTCGGTAAGATAGTTTAACTTCAACTCTAATTCCTACAAAAACAAGGAGTACAAGAGCTGTCATTTCCCAAATCAATAAAAGTCTACCCAATTCCAACCAACCACACTGTGTTATGTTAACTTGTGTAGATGCCATATGTCATTACCCATTTCCAGAGTTCAACAGATTTTGATCATACCCATTAAATTTCTTAAGCAAAATTCCATTCCTTTCTTGTATTCTTTCTCTTGAAACTCAAAATAAATGTAATTACTTCTTTCTATATTCTCAATTTCTCAAATACTCAAACTTTTCCCCATTTTCATAATTTCCGTTCGAAGGCCACTGCTTAGAAACAATGAACATGCTCCAAAAAGGCAACAATAGTAAATAGAAACACATATATGTATAGGTTCAGGTTATCAAATAAATAAATAAAATCCCATGTAATATATAGATACATAGAATAGACAGAGAGAAAGAGAGAGAGGAACCTGAGCGACCCATTCCATAGCAGGAGAGATTAAGCGGCAAGGACCACACCAATTGGCGACGAACTCGACGAGAACCGGACGGTCCGAGTTCAGAACGGTATCCTGGAACTGGGTTTCGTTAATTTGCTGAATACCACCACCGGAAGCAACTGTAAACTTAGGAACCGTACGAGCAGAAGAAGAAGAATTACGAAGACCCAGTTGCCTTCTCTGACTTCCAGAGCTGTAGAAGAAGCCGGAGAAGAGCTTCTTCGATGAGAGCGCGAGAGCAGAAGTGGTTGGCGAGTAAGAGTTTGAAGTAACTGTACGGACTGGAGGGAGTGGTGGTATGAATAGTAATGCGGAATTGGAGACGATGGTGTCCATGTTTTGTAATGAGATAGAGGGAGAGAGGAAAAGCAAGCATTTTGATGAGTCTTTTGAGTTTTTGAGTGAACGAAAATGCAATGCTCACTTGGCGTGGAAGCCTATTGGCCACGAAATACCAAATCTGTTGTATATCATAAGTTGTGCTCAATTTTATCATTTGTCCTCTTTTATAATAATAGGGTTAACTACATAAAACCCCAAAAATTATAGGGTCACTTTCAAGTTCATACCCATTTGTAAGTCAAATTTTTTAAATAATAAAAATTATTGTGAAAAACGAATTCTTACTTTAAAATAAAATAACCGAGCGGGCCGAGCAGACTTAATAACAAAGACGTCCCTCTTGGTGTGAATGTGTGTGGCGTGCCAGTACCACAGACAGAAATGGTCGTGAGTACAAGTGAGTGATGCTTGGCGATGTGGATGTGACTTCTTCACGGACGATTTTGCCCGAGATAGGAATAGATTATTGACAGTAAGGTTCTAGGCCTCGATCATTGAGCTCGGTAGCTTGGTGGTGGCACTAGGCTCGGTAGCTCAATGGTTTCAGATAGCTTAAGAAATACAGGCATCCCAAGAAATATGGATGGATGGGGTGGTGCTCAAGAAATAACTTAAGAAATGCGGGTATCTTAAGAACTTCTTGTTAATATATTGAATGAACGATCAAAGATTAAAAACTATGAACTACAGGATAAAAGGGTAAAAGGTGCATTTGAGCAGTCATTGAGCTTGATTTGTTTGATTGGTGTTAGACCTTTGTTTCATCAATCTTTCTGCTATTTATAGACTTTGTATTACTTTTAGCCGAGACAATAATTATGGTCGTGCTCTCACAAACGTCCAATCAATCCTCATAACTTTCATCTTACGCTTTCACTCGCGATTGATCAATCTGAACAGTGGAAAAGGTGACCGTCGACTGCTTTCTGATAGCTTGGGTGGTGGAACTCTGACATGAGCTTGGTCTCTGGACCTCGCTCTCTCAGTGAGGAAGTAAGATTCTGGCTCTTACTGTTTGCTCCCTCAATGAGGCAAACGATTCCTCGGTCTATTTGTGTGGTTAGCTTGTCTCTTTCAAAATGTAAGCACTTAGTAAGCGAGCTTTCTTTTGTTTGCTTTCTTGGGGAGGCAAACTTTCCCTTACTTCGGAAGGTTCGGCTTCTTCCTTCATTCAAACTACTCGTATGGGTTTGAAAGTCTTTTCAGGCCCAAAGCATTCTTCTTTCTCCAGTTTCCGCCATCTTTAAAGGCCCATAGGCGAAAAAATCTAAGTCTAAACAAGATGCTAAATTTGAAGTTTGATGAAACTTTGAATCTATTGATCTTTTTATTTAAAAGTTTTTTACGCTGACACCCGTGAGGTTTTTCGTGTTTAAAGTGATTTTTGTTGAAATTGAACCGAAACAAACCATTCATTCTAAACAAAGTGATTTTTGTTTAAATTCAGACCGTGTCACCTTTATTCACGACGCAACCCAAACCGTCATCAATTAACAAAAATAAATAAATAAAGAAGCACCGAACAGACTTGAGAAGACGCCCATACGAATGAAGTCCGACTTAAACCCAGCATAAAGAAAGTGAGAACAGAGCAGAGACGAAGATGGAAGTAGATGGAGATGACAAGAGAGACCCCCCCGTGGGCTCTCCAACCAATTCTCAGAAAACTGGTAATTCTCTTCATCTCCTTTCTCCTCGTCTTATTTTCCCTCCATTCTGCTCGCGCTTTCCTTTCCCTTTCCACGTTTTCTCACCAACCAAACAGAACCCAGACAGGGATTTCTTGATTTCTTTGTTTCATATTATTTTATTTGGGGCTAATATGTTGTGATTTCTATATTCGATTAAATAACTTAGAATACTGTCAGTGTGATTGTTTGTTGTTCATATTTTGTAAGCTTTTTGAATGCTAAGGTATATTATTGTATTAAAACCCTTATATTAATTGCACTCAGAGCAAAAGTAAAGTTTTTTTTTCTAAACGTCATAATTATCAGAGTCTTGGGACTGTTTAATGTGTTGTATTCTCCTTGTATTCAATTTATTGGAACGAATTTCATATTGGCAATGAATGGTATCCATTTTACTTGGTATATTCGACATGTACAATCAAATGAGAAAGGATGTCTTGTGATAAGTTGCAATTGAAAATCATTTCTTTTGTCCGGCATTGCTTGTAGATATTTGAAGCTCCAGCTAAGTACTGTTATATAGCAATGGAGTAATTCTTTGAAGTTTTGAATGTAACCCATGTTGATATGTTGTGTATTTCAGTTTCTGATGACGATGAAATAGACTACTCCGTCAAACCCGAGTTCTATGATTCAGATATTGATGACAAAGATGAGTTGTGGGCTCAAACGAAAAGGAAAGGTCGTACTTCTGATGCTGTGCTTAGTTGTCCATCTTGTTTCACCACACTATGCCTGGAGTGTCAAAGGTATACTGTATATGCATTGGATATGAATGTCAGTACTTTTTTTAATAAGAATGTCAGCATGGTTAGTGGTATCATCCGTTCCCATCCCTGAAAGCATCTTTATGGCATGCCTTTTCCTTTTCTTGCTGCTGTAGTTAGGAAGGCTCGGATGCTCTATCTCTTTTTATTTTTCATATCTCTTTGTGTAAGTCTGATTCCTAAATGTAGCATTGGTGGGAATGGGTCCTTGATGGGATAATAATGTTTTTACAGTACTCTCTCAATCTTGTACTGGTATTTTAGGCTTTAAAAATCACTTTTCATATGAGTTCATAGGATCCTAGGTAAGTTATCATTTAGTTCGATAATTAACAAAGTGCACAATAAGAGTAGGAAAGGTATCAGGGATAGAAGTTACACTAGTTTGCATTACCGGGAGAAAGGAAAAAAAATAAAATTAATTTCTCTGACTTGCCATTGGCTGGTTATCAATGAGAATGAATTTTATTTTTCTTGAGTATAGAAAATATTCTAGGTTTTCTTCTCAAACTTTCACTGCAAGATAGGTAAAATTTGAAGGGAAAGTGGGCTCATAGGTATTAGTTACCAAAATGAATTTCTTCTCTTTATTTTCCTTTTGTTCACAATAAAATATTTCAAATTTTCTTCTTTTCTCTATTTTCTCTAGTTGAAAGCAAACCAAACATGGGGATAGCTAAGAAAACGAGCTCAGTTTAACAATTTGGAGGGGGAATATGTGAATGACTACTTAAACCCTTTTATAACAGTTATCTTGCTGAAAATTCCACTGCAAAATTATATTTTCTTTTGGTGATTTGTGTTTTCTTTCTTTATAACAAAAGAGAAAAGCAAGCCCCTAAAGGCACTGAAAATGAAAGCCAGACCAGCTAATGAACTTTTGAGTAGCTGTCACAGTTTAATTTGCAGCATTCTGTCCAGTCTAATCAGGGTTTTGTAATCTCCCCATTCTGGTTAAGGTTTTGTTAGTCTGCTCTGAACTGCTTATGAAAGTTTAGGTTGTTGCAGTCTTACATTTTAAAAAGGAAATTTCTATAGGAGCTAAGTTCCTCTAATATCCTTTAGAACATTCGGTGCCTTTTACCTTGTGAACCATAAACTGATCTTGGGGTGCGACTCAAATCAGCACAAACTTTATCTCCAAGTTAAGAAGCATACATAGTCATAATTGTTCATGGTGATGATGTGTATGTTTCTGAAAAAGAATCCTTTTACGTATGGATGGATGGAGTTTTTGGTATCTTTTTTAATAGAGAAGATTGATATTTTGAGCAAAAAATAGTGTCCCATTGTCTTGTTTCAGAAATTTGGACTTAACTAACATTTTTCCAAGAGCGGGTAACGTGTATGGTGTTATCAAGTTTCTTGTTGTAGTAGAACTGAGTAGGCTGGTATTAATTTCCTTATTTGTATTGAGGTGCTTATGTAAAGCTGATGGAGGCAGGCAATAATTAGATTATTTTAGTGGTTTTTTAAGTACTATGAGTTGATAGTTAATTATGATACCAAAAGTTGTGATCATGTTGTGGTAGTGATAAAGTTGGCATGTAGTGGTAGTAAAATTAGGGATGAAAAGGTAAATATATGTATACATACAAGCATTTTTCAATGTACAAAATATAAAATAAAAAAGTAATTGTACAACTTGTGAAATCATCTTCCCAATTCACGTAATTGGAGACATACTGAACTTCTATGTATTGCATTCGGTAGCTGCAGAATGTTTTGTTTCCAATGGTGACTTAAATTTTTTTGTTATGGGTGAGATGTACTCATGATGTAATCATGTATATCTTTAAATGGTATCTGAGCTTGATTTCTTCTTCTTTTTCGGTTATATCTGAGCTTGATTTCTTGCAGGCATGAAAAGTATGTGACCCAATACAGAGCAGTGTTTGTTGTTAACTGCAAGACTGGAAGTGATCAAGTGTTCCATCAAAAAGAAGGAAGACCTAGAAAGGGCAAACTAGGGAGAGAATCTTCTGAGAGCAAAGCAATTCCTGCAGGTAACCAAACCTTCAAGCAAGTCTGCTGCTTACTTTGCTCAACAGAGGTAGGTGTAATTGATGAAGAAGAAGTCTATCATTTCTTCAATGTTCTTCCCAGCGAGTCTTGACCTGCTAAGTTTCCTTAATCAATGCATTGTACGTTTTCTTTTCTCGTTACATTAGTATGGATCAAACACTTAACCTATCCTAGTTTTAACCTCTCTCGACCCTTCCGCGCCACTTGAGGTAACCGCAAAAGCTTATGCAGTGTAGGTTTTAATTAAACGAATTGTGCTTCTGCTTATTTGCAAGGGGTGGTACTGTTGATGTGTTCCACTTTCTATTTTGCCCATTCCAACAATCAAATCTCTTGTTTCGAAATCATTTTTGCGTATAATCTTTTGGGCCCAAATAAAGTACAAATGGGCCCATAAGCATTATTCTTTCAACAAAATAAGAAAAGAGAATCATGAAACGAAATAAAATGTAAAAAAATTGGGCAATGTGCTCTCATCAGACATGAGACATGCTATGTTATTTGACTGTCAATTATAAATCACGTTTTAACAATAATCTACTCTATCGACGGAACAAATTAATACGGCCACACTTATGAAATCTTTACATATTTTGTGCAACTTGAAAGAATCCAAGACAAGTTTCATCAAAGCTAATAGATTGTAACTTGACCTGGAGGGGCGTTGATTAGTGCATAAACCTTTCCGCAAATGACATCATTGAATTCACAACCATCATGCTTTTGAAAAGTTTTTTTATTTTCTGAAAAAGAAAAAAGTTGAACCAATAATTTAACGAAGAGTCTAGAAATGTGGCACATTATGGTTGGCTCCTCTCTAGAAAATTTTCTTTGTGCCGGTGACCTTTTGAATCTTTCTGTTCGAAATTAAAGACTGCATAATCTAGAGGAAAGGGGTCTTGACTTGCATGTTAGATATCTCAAGTTCGAATCCCCATGACATCATAATTGTGTGTGTGTGTGAGAAATTCTCCTTCCTTATAATTTAAACTATCGCTTGTACTAAAAAAAAACTGCATAATAATAATATCCTTTTTTAAAATTAAAGTAAAAAATAAAAAAATTTGTTCAAGCTTTTTCAGAAGTCGTTTTCCATGAAATAAATAATTCCAAAAATGGTTGAGATGGGCTCCAGCTGTTTGATTGTTGGACAATTTGGAGCCTCATGTCATTTGTGGCCCTTTGTTTTTTTTTAAACAGCTAAAAATATATTTAAATTTATTATTATAATTTTTGGATTTTCAGGTCCTGTCATCAGTCTCCTGACTGGTGAATCCAGATAAGGTCAACTAGAGTCTGCTCACATGCATGACCTATTTTGAGACGCCTTTTACAGTTTTTGCTTCCACTTTTGTGGGGAAAAATCTCGTTTCTTTCCTTTTTCAAATGAATAACTTCACTTCAATGTTACGGAGAACCAGATTAATCATCAAATCAAATCAGAAAAAGGGTAAAGATACGTATTTTATTTTATATGTTAGAAATATTTTCTTGGCCGATTGTCCATAATTCTTCTAAACAATTGACCTCGGTTGCAGAAATAACTACTCTACATAAGAGTGTATAACCGACGGAAAAGAGTCAAACATGAACTTAATTTGGATTTTGACTCTAGAGTGCATGAATGGCATAGTCTAAAAAAATTTACCCCAAGGGAGATGAGTCAAATAGAGGACCCAAAATTAACTTAAGAGTCAACCATATGGTCCATATATAACCCAAAATATCCTATTTGGATGTTCCCTGTCCGTATACATCTATGCAATAGTTTGGTTGGGGTCATTTTGAAATTTCTCCACAAACTGAGATACAAAATTATGATCAGTAGATGGAGACCCGTCAGGGAATATCACATGCATGATGAGTTTGTTGTTCTTGGATCATTTGGTTTGGGCCCATATAATTAATGGTTCATCATCTTCCATCGTCAATCAAATTAACTATATGTATGCACTTGATTAGTTACTTAATTACGAAAACTAAACACATTCAAGTGTGCATGTGCACAAATGAATTCACTTCTCTCAAGTTCTATTTTGGGAGGCTTGTCACCATATAGAGTTACCTTTTCTACTGTATGGTTTAGTTATATGTAGCCGTGAATTTATGTCAAGATGTATCGTGCATTTATGTTGCGTGTGCAATGATGATGAAAGTTATTAAAGTGAAAAAAAAAAAAAAAAAAAAAAAAAAAAAAAAAAAAAAAAAAAAAAAAAGACTAAATGAGAGAGAAGAGTAGAGACTAATGGTGGGATGCATGGGAGAGCTTTAAATTTAAAGGAGATGTTAGGTCTAAATGGGAAAGTTCTTACATTGTATGTGGAGTTTTTCACTTAATTTCATGATATTGTATTTGAAGCAGTCGTTGGAATATGATCTACAATTAATACAAGTTCTTGTTAATACGTAACTACCTGTTGACTTTGGTTTTCTTTGTTGTACCGGAAGAAATAAAACTCTTTACATATCTTAATCTTAGTTCATTACCCCACCATCCTTTACCACTTGAGCTAACCTCAATGGCTCTATTATTCTTTGTTTAAAATATATTATTAAAATTGTTTTAAGTACTAAGGTGGTGTAACATTTTCATATTGTTTATACATGATTAACAAAAAAACAAAAAAGATCTTCTAATAATATAAAATAAAGGGTATATATACAATTTCATTACCATTGCAGATCTTAAGCATTTCATGATCTCAGGCGGGTTTTTTCTATTTTTTCTTTCTATCCAAAAATGGCGGAAACAACACCAAAAAGAGAGGGAAAAATAAAGAGGCGGGAAGGAGAGAAATAAGAAATCATGCTCCACGTCCATTTCTTCGACAAACAACAAGATATTTACACGATGCTTTTATAATTGATTAATATACTCAAAATTAATGAGTCGAACATGAGACCTCCTTCAACCAATTTGGAAATAAATATCATTAGATCAAAGGCTAGTCGATTGCTCGAAGTCCGCCTTTGTTTTTATGTTTTATTTATTTATTTATGTTGTTTTGTTTATAATTTCACTTGTAAATAAAATTCAACCAAGCAAAGTGCAAGAAAGATATCGTTGAAATTAGGTTATTGCCCATTGGGGAGGGCCACCCCATACCAAATATAAACAAACACAAAACCCCAAATTCCAGGAACATGTGCTTTTGAAAACTTTAATTTTTAATTTTTTATAATCATTAATTCTTGCATAAATAATAAACTAATAAGATCATGACCTGATCAACCACAACTACTATCATGGGCTTACAGAGGAATGTTCCATCACTCATACGTTAAAATTCGATTTAATTAAAATTATCAAAACCCCAATTGGGGATTATATAATAACGACCAATATAATAATATTATAATGTAGTGGTTACACAAAAGATATAATTAGGGCATAATTAATCATAATAATTGAGGATTAATTAATCAAAAGCAGCACATGAACGCGTTATTAGGATACGGAATATATGCCCTCGTGTGTGCGACAGTGGTTTTTTATTTTTATTTTTTAAAATCTTTTGCTCTGTACTTTTACATTGTAGAAAGTTAGAAACCGTGTTACGGGCGTCTTTGTTGTGGGGCAAAATAATCCAAGACCTTCGGATTAGTCAAAAAATATTAATAAAAAAATACACTGCCACTTACGAGGAAGAAAATAGTACTAGTGCTATTAATCTATCCAAATCCAAATCATTTACACAGCTATGTGCGGCTATGCGAGTGTGGAAAGGAGATCCCACTCGTGAAAAGAATGAGAAGACTGGTGAACTGACCTTATCCACATTTACGTATACAGAGTTAATTAATAAATTAGTTATAATTTTGATAATAAGATCTAGCCCAGTTGAAAATGATCTTGATTTACAGACCAAAGGTCTCAAGTTTCAATGTGTGTGTGTGAGAAACCTCCTTTCCGAGAAACTCTCATGCAATTAAAATATCACTTTTTGCTATCCTTGGCCAATAACGCAATGGCACATAAAATAATTTTTTCACGTGTCATTGTATTATTAGTCGGAGATAGCGAAACAATCTTATTTCCGTAAGTATTTTTGATGGTTTAGACTATAATTTGTACTAAAAAAAGTCACAAGTTTTAAATTATTTAAGTTTGAGGCCCACATGGGCTCATGTAAATAATAAATCTGGGTAGATAGTGCCAACTGGTGTTCTGCTGCCAAGCCAGCTGCCATACAACGTACAACTGAGTTGGTTTTCTCTAGGGGGGTTGAAATCTGGCAGAATCATAACATCACAGAATTCTGGGAGGTTTTCTTAAAATTGCTCGTTTATTTTATTTTCCTTTTTAATGTTTCATCTGAGAGACTCCTGATCATTTTGGTTTGCTGCAGATTTTGGACTTTGGAGCTTTTTACTTTTTCTTGCGATTTGAGATTAGATCTAGGTTTTTATGAAATTTGTGAGTGAGTGTTTTTAGGGTTTAGGGTTTTCACCTTTACTCGGGTTTTGTTGATTTGGGCAGCACGTACTCCAGTCTCTGCAGTGGCAGCAGAGGCAGTAACTAGTCATCATTCTTGTCCTCATATAGGGTTACTTTGTTTTTTTCTTTGGTGAAATCATATAGCCTAGGGTTTACTTCTTTTCTTCTGGTCCATCCATAAAGGGCTTACTTCAATTTGTAGATTTGGGTTCTGTAATGTTTTTCTAGCTTGTGTAATGAGACCTCTTTTAAAAAAAGCGAGAAATACCACTCGATTAATAGTTAGTTGGTTATCGGATTTTCTTTTTGATTTCTTACCAATGAATTCATATTTTAATGACAAAAGGAACTTTGATAATTTATATTGACACACAATTAGATAAATATGAACAGAAAAAAAACATATTGTATATTACATACCGATCTAATTGAGTTATGCTAGAGCTAATCGCGGGCGGGTGATCAATTCCCATTATAAGTGTGTTTCAATTCAACAAACATTTTGCATTCACCAAACAACTCTCTTTCAAAATCTCTCTATGTATTCCTTGGTATGAAGTACGAATCAACTGATATTTAATTTGCAGTACATACAATATTTGCTCAATCGATTATGAAGTGAATCGCTAAATGAATTGATTTGGTTCGACTAATCTACATTTAGCTCGAGATCTAAACCAAATTAAATTTGGACTGTTTTATTGGTGCATGTACATACCTCTTGTCAAAATTGAAAGTGATCACAATATAACATGCTAGATCGTCCAATAAACGAGCATGTTCTAAAGTCAGGAGAAGAGACATCCAACCCAAACCCAATTCTCCAAATAATTAAGGCATACACAATCACCAGCAAACAACATCATCCTCTTAATTAATCTCCATAATGCAGACATCAAACATTTTTCTAATTCATAATGTATGCCCTTGACTTTCTTCACACAAGGGTTTGAATCCGGAGTAGATGAGCTCAAGAATTCAAAAGATACAACAACTTTCCACCGTTGGATCTCTAGGGTTTAGAATCCAAGAACCAAGGGCGTGAATTATTGTGTATATCATATTCCCAAACATTCGTCTGCCTCATCATTGTCGCAATAGAATAGAAGAGAAAGGTTTTTTTTATTATATAAAAAATATTTTTAAAATTATAAAATTTGAAGTTGAATTTCAGAACTACCAAAGTGGCAAATTACGTAAATAAAAACACTGCCTTATGTCAGTCTATGTGTCAATTTTGTACCACTCGACTTACTCACTCTCTCTCTACTGACCTCATTAAAGCCACGACAGCTCTCTCCTCCACGCGCCCCTGTTGAGACAGTGCACATCACGTCTTCCCGCGCAACACGTTTTCCACGCTAATTAGATTTTTTACAAATTTAAGGCAAAGAGAAAACAAAAATGTTTTTTTAGTTTATTTTTATAATTGTCAATGACGACAGCATAAATGACAAGGAAATTGCCAACATTTGAAAGAAGTTTTGATGACTTCAAGTGAAGGGTATACATTTTTGGTATGGATTCTCATTTGATAAGAATACAATCCAATAAAATTATAAATTAATTTTTATCCCGTATTAGAGTGACGTGAATTCGTCGACATAACAATTCCAAACGTGCTTCAATTAATTCGCATTATAGAAAAATTTAAAATGTGCCCTTGAAGGAAGTTTGCCTCTTCAACGTGACATTAGGCTTGAGAATGATTAGACAGATAGGAGCATCCTCAAAGGCGTTGGCCTTGGCAACTTATGGCCTAATAATAGATGGGTTATTGGCTTAGAGGTTATATACTTGTTGTTGTTGGTTGTTATTGATATATGTGGGTTAGTAGGGTAGGAAGCTTGATTAATGATTGTTTACAAGCTAAATCCAGCCGAGGCTTTTAGATTTGAACCAATCATTAAAAATGTCGGCTGACTAATGGAACTAAGTGAGTGTGCCATGATCGAGGGGTTTACCTTAGTGGTGAGGTCCCTCCCCCTTTCCCCTGGTTACCTGTTCGAATCCCAGGAAAAGTGCCCCATCCCCAATGCAATGCATCCCTATTTCTATATATAATAAAAATAAAATAAATAAAATAAAAAAATAAAAAAATAAAATAAAAGAGTATGCCATGAAATTCAGGCTTTTCATCAAGGAAACTGGTCAATCTCTAGGAATTTCTTAGAGTTTGAATATAATAAAATAGGGTGAGCATTGAGCATTTGTTATTGTGTAGAAGGTGGGCTATTTTTAAAGAAGGCGCAGAGTTTTCCTACAAAATTCAAAGGTCAAGGAGAAAAGAAAAAAAGAAGAAATTGAAAGGTTTTGGGTTATAGTATTCGTATAGTGTGTGTGAATTTAATATGTTATCGCACCTCTTAATAAAAAAGGGTTCTAAAAAAGAAAAAAGGGTGGGTTGATTATATATTGATTTGTAGGCGGGGTTAAGTTAGAAAATGGACTAGAAATAGAAAGTAGAAAGTATGTGCGGTGGGGCTCATTTTCCTTTGATTTATTGCAAGGCCATGTTATGCTTGTATCTCATCAGCCAGCATATATGTCACCTTCTCCCTAAAGTGTTATTGAGCTACATGTAGGCCGATTTGTGACTTGAGTTTCCATATCATCCACAATATATTTTATTTATTCTTATTTTTCACAGAAATATACTCAAATTTTGTCAAGTATATTATATGTAATTTGACAATTTCATTGGTGTTTTTTTTTCTTTTTTTTTGCAATAACACTTTTGTTTGATAGTATTTTTATTTGGTAATGTATTTAGTCGTATAAGAATCGATGGAATCAACAAATAAATTATTATTTTTTGACAACGGTGATATTCTAAATTATTCTAATATAGGCAGAATGAATTTCAACTTTAGTACAAAAGAATGGATGCGTTAGCTTTGATTAACTATCCTAACTCACGTTTACGGAATGCACAAAGATTTTGATGCCATGGTTTTGGAAAAGGGAAACAATCCTTTTGCATTAATACTGTGTGCATTCATTTCTATGGACCCACGTTGTAAGTATGAGTAATATATAGATATGGTAGTATTAAATGGAGCTAAGCTGTAGGGGATTCATTACTGTTGCTACTATGGTCTTCCTTATTACTTGCAAATTTGAAATGAAGTAGCAAGTACTCAGCAACTCAGAGCAGCAGCAGAGACTTGAACACAAAAACAGCGTCATCCCCACAGCCAATCACCCACCGTCCTCAAGCCAAGCCGAGGAGAAGAACCTCTACGTCGCCGTTTCATAAACCTCCGCCACCCGACACGACACCGTTCAATACCCTCGCTTGAATAACAAGGCTTAAGGCTCGTGATTTTACTAAGCAGCTGAAAATTTTGACCAATTGTTGACTGATAAGGCAAAATTATATGTTTAAATAAAAATATTTAAATTGTTTTGTTTTGTTTTGGGGTTGCGCGTGTTTCACACAGTGAGGAAGAAGTGTCAAGGTGAAGAATGCTTGTATGGAGTGGGGGCCACCACCCCATGTGCCCTCCTCTGTCTCCACCAGCTCCTGTCTGGAAGCTCAATCATTAGAGAGAGCTCTGTTTCCCTCAGCCCAGCCCCCTCACCTCCCTCCCTCACACTCTCTCTCTCTCTCTCTTCCCCCAAAAACCTCCATAACTCAAACAGGCCCCTTCTCTCTCCTTCTCTCGCTCTCTCTCTCTCTACAATTTCCACACCAAGCAAACAAAACGTACACACTCTGTGTGTACCCTAAACCCAGCTAAATACCGTCAATTTCTTCCATGTCTAATTCCGAAGCGCCCAATAACGAGCTTACTAACGGCGGCGGCGGAGGAGGGATGGTGGAGCAGCAGGCGTCGCAGAGGCCGTCTAGTAACGGCGTCTTGGCCGTGAAGAAGCCGCCTTCGAAGGACCGCCACAGCAAGGTCGACGGGCGAGGCCGCCGCATCCGCATGCCCATCATATGCGCCGCACGTGTGTTCCAGCTCACACGTGAGCTCGGCCACAAGTCCGACGGCCAGACCATCGAGTGGCTCCTCCGCCAGGCCGAGCCCTCAATCATCGCTGCCACCGGAACCGGCACCACCCCCGCCTCCTTCTCCACCGTCTCCGTCTCCCTTCGCGGCGGTGCCCCCTCCTCCTCCGCTCCCTCTTCCACCACCACCTCCGACCACAAGCCTCACCTCCTTGGCGGCCCCACCCCCTTCATACTGGGCAAGCGCGTCCGCGGGGCCCATGACGACGACAACGGCAACCACAACCACAGCCACGACGCCAAGGACCCCTCCGACCACGCCAACGACGGAGCCGTCTCCGTCGTCGGCCACTCCATGGCCTCCATGCTTGGCCCCACCGCGGGGGGTCCTGGCGGCTTCTGGGCCCCGCACTTCGGGCAGGTCTGGAGCTTCGCTGCCACGCCGCCGCCGGAGATGATGGCCCAGTCGGCGGTTTCCCACCAGCAACACCAGCAGCATCAGCAGCAGCAGCATTCGTTGTTCTTACAGCAACAGCCGATGGGCGAGGCCTCAGCGGCCAGAGTGGGAAATTACCTTCCAGGACATCTCAATTTGTTGGCTTCTTTGTCGGGCGGGCACGGGAATTCTGGTCGGAGAGAAGACGACCCGCGTTGAAGACCCGGATTATAGACCGTCGGTTTCTGGTGGTTGGTTCGTGCTGGTGGTGGTGTGCTTTGTTGGTATATATAAATATGTGTATGTCTCTGTTTTGCTTTTTTTGTTGTGTGTTTTAGGGGAGAGGTGAGGGAGTTGAAGTTCTTTTGATTTTGATTAAATTTCTTGTAGTTGATTTTTAAGGTTAGAATTTAACTAGCTTTGGCTGGCTGGAAGAAGAAGAATAAGGGGTTTGTGCAAATTTGTGAATTTGAAGCAATGTATTCAAATTAGGGTTTTTTAGGGTTCAAATTGTTTTAGATTTGGGGGGTTTTGTTGGAGGAGGAGGAGAGAGAATGAAGAAGAAGAAGAAGAAGAAGAATTAGGGTTTTAGTTGGAGGTTTTGCTGTTGTAATTGGAATGGCTTTCCCAGAAGTTTAATTCTATGAAAATATTATTCCAATTATCGTTCTATTTGTCAATAATCCCAATTGATCTTAATTTGTGTTTCATATCCCATTATGACGTTTTAAGGCTTAGAATTGGGTTGAGCTGAGTTTGCATTGCATTCCTGCTAGGGTTGGTGATGGGTCATTTTACAAATTCTCTCGACTTATGCATGACATTTTTCTTGGCAATGGTATTCTCCTGGACTTGAACAGGGGTTCGACTTCTCCCCCTTCGCAGCAACTTTCCGTTTTTGCTGCACTTTCCAACTGTTGGATGGCCAATACCACTCCCATCTGGGGAGCAGCACACTACACTAAACTGGATACTGAATCAGTTTTCTGATGCTTGGTGTGTGTGGCAACTGTAGTTCATTCGGTGTGGGAGCTGAATAATTTTCGTGACACTAAGATTGTTCTTTTCATTGTTTTGCTATACTCTTCTGATAACAAATTTCTTGATTTTAACATGCAGGTTTGTTGCCTGTAAAAAGAAAAAAGCATGTTGGATGAAGTCGGGTATGCAAGCAAAATTGAAGCAGTTATCTCCTACAACTTGGGGTTAGATGGTTTTTGTTAATGTTTGTTAATATATATTGAAGTCAAAGTTCATGTTGAAGTACTGGTTTTCATGGTGTGCTGTTCAATTAGATTTTCGGAACCGATGCTTCCATCTGACAATAAAATCAAAGTGATCCATCATATTGAAACCCTAATGCTGTGTGATGTAGCAAGGCAGAAGTGCTTGATACTTGCAATTTGCTTGTTTCAAATTTCACCAGATTTCAGCTGTTGAGTTTGACTGAAAAATAGAAAATACTATTACTTATCTTTACTGGGGGAGCAAGGCTTAACATAACTTCGATCTGCAGAGAAATGTTTAGTTGAGACAAGGATTTTCCTTAAAGTCGGGTCTGCTGAGTTGCAACAGGTTCTTCAACTGCACTCCCCATATTCTGGAAAGAATGCCCTGGAATCAAAATTTATCCTAGTTGAAGAACGGTCGGAAGTAACAACAATCTCTAGAGCCACCAAACATCACGCTTCGCTACCCTAAAAGAGAACCAAGAAATTTTAAAAGCAAACAGTCAAATGGGTCATGCAAATATAGTATTGAAAAGGACGACGCCACAGCAATGGCATATTTCAAAAACCATGGCATTTAATAAAATGGTTTTACGCTTACCAAATGAGAAATCATCTGCAGAACATTAACAGTATGAAAATATATACATTTGATGGCAAATGGCATACTAACTCTGAATGTTCTAGTTATAGCCTTTGGGTGTCGTCTGACTCTTGCTATGCAGATCCAATTGTGTGATGAACATTGGACTGAGGCTTCTATATGGCATTGACTTGAAAAGTCTTTCAAAGTATGAAATCTTCAGCCCCTTTTCCCTTGCAATGTCAGCTCGAACCCAATGTGAACGGTTTCCCCGTTCACCAGTAACTATAACAGTAGTATTCTTGTCAGCAAAATTAGTCAGGGCCACCACTGTTTCTGGGTCGATAGCAGACGAAGCATCCACCAGAAAAATATGACTGACATGTCCTGCATTTAGGCCTTTGTCATGTAACTGAAAGCTACTCATGAAAGTCGAGAAAATCACCCTGAATTTTTTAAGCTCCTCAGTTGGAGGACAAGAGAAATCAGGCTCTTTGTAAAGGCATGATGGGAGGATGTCTTCAGGTACCCCATCTATCTCACGGAATGCAGCATTGGCTTGAAACATATCTGACTCTGGAATCCCTTTCAACAAGCTCCTCATGAGCACATCCCAACAGTGGTTATTATGAGCACATATAAGAATCCTATTTTCTGTTGACATTTGACATAACTGGTGCACTGCTTCACAAACAACCACTCCAGTTTTGGATGACCTAAAAGCATTTCTTTCAACACATAGCCGGCCAGCCGCCAAGTAAGGTGGTGAGCCCTGAATGCTTAAAATATGGCGAAGTGCAGATAATTGATCAGCATCAAGTTTATGACAGGCAGAGAGCAGCGCTCGTGCAGTTGGAATGCTTGTATGGGAAACACAATCGGGAATGAGGAAGTTCTGAAACAAAGCATCTGATGCATATTGAACTGCTTGATGAGCTCGTTTCAAACAGATTCTATTGAATGAGAAGCTGACATCATATTTTTGAGTCAAATCATGATGAACGTAGAAGTCATCTTCAAATTCAACTAGTACAACTTACAAGACTGCTCCTGACAACGCAATATATAAAGCCCTGTACAACATGTAAGATCATTATAATAATGTTGATAATTTTAACATGTAAGCGTATGTTGATGGATGTTGAGAGTTTACACATAGACTAAGTCCCTCGATAAAAGGAATGGGCGATTCTCAGGAAAATAATCCATCTCAAAAGCTACAAAGGTTTCTCCTCCTTATCTGGTTTTTGTGAATTGCTGCTTCATGCAACGCCAATGTCACATTCTCCAAATCGAAATGAGGCCATTTCTGATTCAAAAAACAACATAAGTTTTTCTTCAAAGCCAGCATGCAGGATTGAGGAGATAAAATTGTTCTATCTATCACAACGTTCTATAATCCATCATTCATACCACCACTCATAGGGGAAAAAGCTCTTAAGCACAAAGCTGATTGCAACTAAAACTATGCCTGTATTTTATTTAAACAGATTCTAAAATATTCTGTCTTCAATTTTAATTTGCAACAATTGGATATCTAACAGGTGCAAGTTATCTAAACCTCAAATCTACCACATTTAATATATGCAAAATTTCCAAATAATATTTTGTCTTTTTGGATAGTTGTTTTGATATTGTGTCATCAATATTCAGTTGCAATAGTTACCAAGTTGCTTGGGTCCTTGTTTCCATGCGGAAAGGAAACGTTTGCAAGAATCTTCGGACACCTCTACTTCTATTCTGATTAAACAGAATATCAAGCTAAAGCTAAAGCTATTAGGAAATTAGCTAACAATGCATATCGAGCTAACACCCTCCTCCCTCTCGTGCAGCCAGTGAGAAACATAAAAGTGCAGCCCCACCCTGCAAACTATTAAAGAAGTAGAAATGAGGGGTTGGAGTGTTTTGGATTCACAACCACCTGCAATCAGAGCTCGGATACCATGTTAGACAACCACGAGACCTTAAAAGTTTAAGCTGTTAAGAAAGGGGGCAGCAGTGTATCTCAAGCTAATAGTTATCACTTTGCTTTTTTACTTTTTCTTCAAGTAAATTTGCGTAAAGGTTGGAGATACGTAGTTTAAATGTTGATGAACCATCTGAGCTAAGCTAATCCAGAGTACAGACCATACAAGCAAGATTTCATTAGCAGATAATATCCTCGCATCTTTCAAAAATTGAAACTTAGAGAAGTGCTATACAAACTATTTATGTAAATAGTTAGATATCGGGCAACTAACTAGTTAACAGGAGAAGGCATTACAAAAGAGAAATATTCATGCATACCTCAAAAGTAGAACTCTTCAGCATATAACAGAACAGCAAAGTAATCCTTATATGTCGTGGGAGACAGAGGCTGGTTAAGAACTTTAGGCACAATGTAATTCTTGATCAAATCTTTGATACCGCCAGGAATCGTGAATATAGGTAATGAACCCTTGTCAACCCATACATAATTTTTCTTCCCCTATTCATTTATTTCATTTGAGGAGGCGAGGGTTAGAAATGTCTTAAAGACTGGAAGGAGCTTATCTGAAGATAAGGGTGGTCCAGAGGAAAATGGAGTTCTATTAGGGGAAGATGGAGATGGTCTTGAAGAAGATGTTGGAGGTTTTGGGGATAATGGATGTGGCTTAGATGAAGAAGGACGTGGCCTAAATAATGAAGCCTGAAGTGGCTTAGAGGAGTGAGTAGATAGTTGAGGAGAAAACTGAGATGATGTGGATGAAGGTGTTGGGGGTTGAAGGGATGATGAAGATGGAGTAACAAAAGGTGATGGGGGCAGCTTAGATGAAGATGTTGGAGGCTTAAGGAATGTTGAAAATGCATAACCACAAGACCATTGTTGTACTTTAGATAAAGATGTAACGAATTTAGGAGATGACGGAGATGTATCGAGCGAAGAAGATTGCGGTTTTCTACACAATGTAGGAGGTTTAGGAGAAGATGAAGGGTGGATTAAAGGGAGACAAGACTGGTTTAGATGGAGTTGATGGGGGTTTAGGGGGTGGCAAGAGGTATCTGTGGGAAGTATCGTAACGATAATCACGATCGTGTAATTCGGGAAGCCAATTGTAACAATCATAATAAAATTCAGGCACATCTTCACCATAATAACATTCATGCTCATCTTCACCACCAAGAAGCCATTTCAAGAGTTTACGAAAAAATGACATGCTTTTCTTCTTCCTGTGAACAAAACACCGAAACCCAACGACCATTTGAGAACGAGAAGACCCCATTGCAGGGTCTAAAGTATGAGACTCATTCAACAAGTTCTAGAACAGAGATTAATATTTGAAATGAGCAAACCAAGGCAGAGGATTAATTAGACATAAATAAAAACATTAATTCAAAGATGCAAAATGAAAAGTTGGGACCGGAGACACAGATCATCTGTTCTATGAGTTGCAATGTTACATGCAAATGAATCGAGAAGAGGAAGAAAGTTTACCGAATGCAACGCAGCAGCAGCTGAGCTTGTTGCTGAGTGTTCAACAGCCGACGACTGAACGTCGCTTTCCTTTTGGTTTTGGAAAGTTAAAAAGTCTGAAGGCTGAAGATTCTTCCATAATAATGTACACGCTCACCAGTCCCACCCCTAACCGGGTCTTGCCAAATCAGCAAAAGGGGCCCACCTAGATAAGGATCAAGGAGGGTATTAAACTAAAGCAATTAAAAAAATTTAAACAAACAATTTGACATTTTAAAAGTAGTGCCAGAGAGACAGAAATAGCACATTCACCGACTTTTTTGTTTACACTAACCTGACCAACGTCTAGCTTAGTGGTCTCGAATTTAAATTCTCATGACATTCTGATATTGGGTGTATGAGAAATTTCCTTTATTTGTAATTTAGATTATCGCTTGTATTTAAAAAAACACGTTACTTTGGACAAAAAAAATATGAAAAAACACATGCGGTTATTTTAGGTTGAAAAAATACAGAAAAAGTGCTAAGAAGACAATGTTAGTTTATTATCACATCTATAACATAGATGAGACTTAGTTTTTTGTTGTTGTCACTCATAAGATGGGAGCTAGTTGTATTTGCAGATTTTGTCTTTATATAGCCTAGTGAAAAAAAGTCTTGCAAACCAAAAATCTTATATTCGAACTCCAATGACACATTGATAGTGTGTGTATGTGAGAAACCTCCCTCCCCCTTGTAGTTTAGGCGATAACTTGTATTTAAAAAAAGTGGTATATAGTGTTGTACAATAATGTGATCTCTCTAGCATTCCTAAAAAACCTTTATTCATGCTAGTAGAGTATAGCTTAGTTGGTTGAGCTTTTTGACCTCAAATTCTGTGGGTAGATGTTCAGAAACCCCAAACATGTGTGTACCCACTGTCACCCTCCTCCCCCAATTGCTTCTACTCTTAAAAAAAGAACCTTATTCATGTCCATGCCTAACTCGGAATTAATTAGTGGGTTTTGATTTTCCCTTTAGTTGATTTACATTATTGCCCTTACGGGTTTTTATTCTGGGTAGCTTTGGGGTTTGCATGCAGTCATTCTTCAGCTAACTTTTAGTTGGATTCAACCTGCATACTGAGATGAAATTATAATGAGCTTGTCTAAAAATCTGAGATGAAGCAACTACAAGGATGTGTTTAGTTCTTCAACTGCACTCCAAGCACTCGTACTTGTGAAATCTTCTAAGTCTAACTTATTTGACTTCTTCTCACGGTGTTCCAAGAACTCCGGTTTTGTTTCTTGATTGCAGGCCATTTCATTTCTCTCATGCAAATTTGATCCCATGTGTACTCTGTTCTATTTAGAGGGGAAGATAATAACTTGGTCAGAAATGGAAGAGTGAGTCATCAGTACTCTGTTCTCTCGAGGATAAAATTTGATCCCAGTTCTATTTAGAGGCGCGTGTGGAAACAGGTATGGCCGTGCGGCTATACTATTTTTAAAAATATACTCAAGTTTAGCCGCGCGGCTATACTATTGGGTAAAATACGTATAGATAAAAAAAAGGACCCGCCTAGGCTTAGGTGCCCACGTGTGGCTATACTATTTTTTTAAAACTAAAAATACCCGAGTATAGCCGCGCGGCTATACTATTTAAAAAAAGAAATACCTGGAAAAAGAAAAAGAAAAAGAAAAAATACCTGTAGTATAGCCGCGCGGCTATACTATGTTAGTGAAAAAATAGCCCCGCCTAGTGCTTAGGTGTCCATGTGTCAAAACAAGTATAGCCACGCGACGATACTAATTTTTAAAAAACAATTACCATAGTAAAGCCGGGTGGCTATACAAATCTTTTTTTTAATAAAAAAAACCTGAGTATAGCCGCTCTGTGATATTATTTAGTTAAAAAGGGGACCTACGTGTGAAAACAGTATAGCCGGGCAGCTATACTGAGTACAGCCGAGCTGCGATACTATATGGTTCGAGCATAGTTTATGGTGCTGGCCACAAAAGGGAAGAAGCAAACTTTTGAGAGTTCTTAAAGGGCCAACACATCACTTCCTTTAGAGGCTACTTACAAGAAAAAGTTCCAAATGGATCCCTAGCATAAAATTCTGCACTTTAGAAAGATCAAACTGGAGGCTGGAGAATTGCTGCTAAAGATATCAACCCAGATAGTGACTTTTAGAAATTTAAAAAGCAAACAGTCAAATGGTTCATGCAACTATGCAAAGAGTTTTAAGCTTAATCCAAAAGCCTGCAGGTGTTGCTGAGTGTGGCTCTTGCTACAAGTCCAATTGTGTTATAAGCATTGGATTCAGGGTTCTATATGGCCTTGACTTGAAGAGTCTCTCGAAGATGGACCTAGTTGTATTGACGGATTCTCCCTAGTAGAAAGATGATACACAAGTCAACGGGGTAGTGTGTGTGAGAAACCCCCTCTCCTTGTATTTTAGACTATTGCTTGTATTAAAATAAAAAAAAATAAAAAAAACCTTCTTTAAGTGCATGAATATCGTGGATTTAACATGCAGGTTGCCTGTGGAAAGAAAAGCATGTCAGACGAAGCTGGGAGAATCTTGCAAACAATATTGAAGCATCAAGTTGTCTCCTACAGCTTGGGAGCAGATGGTAATTTTTTTTAATATTTAGTTTATGTGAATTGTTTTTATGTTTGCCGTATATATATTTGAAACATAATCTTTATCTGCAGAAATGTTTATTTATGGCCCTTCAGCTTGAAAACTTTCTTCCCCAAAATTTGCACTTTAGAGAGTTAAAACTGAGGCTGGAGAATTGCTGTCAATCCAGATATTGACTTTAAGAAAAGAGAAAGAAGGAACTTTGGGTAACAATCCAGTTACTGAGAATTGCTCTGCATTATTTACAGTGTTTTTGCAATAAAAAACCATGACATCTAAGAATATATATGGTTGTAAGGTTAATGCATGGGAAATCATCTGCAGAACATCAAGACGCGCACACAAGTATGACATAATGTATACATTCCAAAGCACCCGTAGGTGTTGCTGAATGTGGCTCTTGCTACTGGTCCAATTGTGTGATAAGCATTGGATTGAGGCTTCTATATGGCCTTGACTTGAAAAGTCTCTCGAAGTATGAAATCTTCAGTCCCTTTTGCCTTGCCATGTCTGCGCGAACCCAACGTGAATTATCTCCTGGTTGACCAGTGACTATAACAGTAGTACTTTTTTCTGCAAAATTAGTTAAGGCCACTGCTGTTTCCGGCTCAATGGCAGATGAAGCATCCACCAGAAAAATATGACTAAAATGTCCAGAAGTTAGGCCTTTATCATGTAGCCGAAAGCTACTCATGAGAGTTGAGAAAATCACCCTGAATTTTTTAAGCTTCTCAGTTGGAGGACAAGAGAAATAAGGGTCTTCGTAAAGGCATGATGGGAGGATGTCATCAGGCACCTCATCTTTCTCACGGAATGCAGCGTTGGCTCGAAACATATCTGACTCTGGAATCACTTCCAACAAGCTTCTCATAATCCCATCACAACAGCGGTTACTAGGAGCACATATCAGAATCCTATTTTTGAGTGAGGTTTGACATAACTGGTGCACTGCTTCACAAACAACCGCTCCAGTTCTCGACGGCCTAAAAACGTTCCTTTCAACACAAAGCTGGCCAGCCACCAAGTAAGGTGGTGAGCCCTGAATGCTTAAAATTTGACGAACAGCAGATAATTGTTTGGCATCAAGTTTGTGACGGCCAGACAGCAGCGCTGGTGCAGTGGGAATGCTCGTACGGGAAACACAATCGGGAAAGAGGAAGTTCTGAAACAAAGTATCCGATGCTGTTTGAACTGCTTGGTGAGCTCTTTTCAAACATACTCGATTGAATGAGAAGCTGACATCATATTTTTGGGTCGAATAATGATAATCATAAAATTCATCTTCAAATTCCACTAATACAAGATTGCTCCTAATAATGCGATGTATAATACCCTGCATAACATGTAATAAGATAATTATAATGCGGATAGTTTTAAGAAATTGCTCAGCAAATGTTAATGAATGTTCAGAGTTTACCTGAAACTGCTCAGCATTTGTACCTGATGGCCGTACATGGACTAAGTCCCTCGACAAAAGGAAAGGCCGATTTTCAGGAACAGAATCAATCATAAATTCTACGAAGGTTTTCTCTTCCTTGTCTTTATTTTTATAAACTGCTGCTTCATGCAACTTCAGTGTCACATTCTTCATATTGAAATCAGCCCATTTCTGGTTTAAATAACAGCAAAGGTTTTTTTATTTCTTTCAAAGTCAGCATGAAAAATCATACAAAATTTAGAAAAGAAGAATGTTGTTGTACCACAGCATTCTACATTCCATCATTCATCATACGACAGCTCTTAAGATACTGAAATGTACGATGTACAATGCAAAGGCATGTACATGAAACTCAATCATTTCAAAACAATAGCCAGTCACTGATGCAAACAAAGAAGTATCAAGTATATAAACAGAATCTTTGGGTATAGAAAAGTGATTACTAATACGAAATAAACTATGTTTTGCTAACCATTCAAAACTTTGCTGTATAATCAATATTTAAATCAGATATTATCGTCAAATCTTTCGAAAATTGTAACTTAGAGAAGTGCTTTACACACATATTTATATAAATGGTTTGATATATGTCATATTTTCTTAACTACTTAAGAAGAAAAGGCATTACAAATGGGCAAGATTCTTGCATACCTCATGGTAGAACTCTTCAGCATATAACAGAGCAGCAAAGTAATCCTTATATGTCGTGGGAGACAGAGGCTGTTTAAGAACTTTAGGCACAATGTCATTCTTGATCAAATCTTTGATATCCTCAGGAATCGTGAATATAGGCACAATATCAACACATACATAATTTTTCTCCCCCTTTTCGTTTATTACATTTGAGGATGCTGGGGATAGAACTTGCTTAAAGATTGGAGGGAACTCAGTGGAAGGCACAGGCGGTCCCGAGGATGGAGATGGTTTTGGAGATGTTGGAGGATTTGGTGATGATGAATGTGATTTTGATGAAGCTTGAGGTGGTTTAGAGGAGGATGTAGACAGTTTAGATGAAGATGAATTAACAAAAGTTGATTGAGGCAGCTTAGATGAAGATGATGGGGGCTCAGAGAATGTTGAATATGTATTGCAAGAAGAAGATGGCTGTGTTTTAGATAAAGATGTTGGGAAATTAGGAGATGGAGAAGATGATTGCCGTGGTTTCGATGAAGATGTTGGAGGCTTAGGGGATGATGAAGAAGCACTAAAAGGAGATTTAGGTGCTTGAGATGGAGGTGATGGGGGTTTATAGTTATAGGAGGCTGGAGATTGATTAGTAGAAGTCAGGGGTGGCGAGTAGTTTCTATGGGGAGTTTGATATTCATAATCTTCATGATGGAAACTGGTTTGTCTGGGAATTTGATTATAAGAACCATGATAATTCTCATGCTCATCTTCACAACAAAGAAGGCATTTCAAGACTTCAAGAAAAATTGACATGCTGGCCCTCCAGTCTCTGATCAAAACACACAAGTCAACACAACCATTTGAGAGTTATTAGACCTTATTCTAAGGTCTAAAATGTTACATACAAAGATGGATATGATCCTTCCATCCAAGAACAGAAGAACTGAGAAACCAACAAGGAAAAAGAAACACAGAAAAAGCCAAAAAAGAAGAAAAAAGCACTCACTCACCAGAGTCAACGAGCCAACGACTGAAGAGAGCTTTGGCACTAAGTAAGCCAACAGCAACATTATTATAATCCCAACATAGTACATGCACAGTCACAAAGGTTGAAGCTGCTTTATACTCCTCTTTTTCCTTTTGGTATTTGCTTTTTTCAAAGAAGAATTGTGGGATGTTGGTGAGATTTTAACTTCCCATCTCAATACAGCAGGCGCAACCATTACTACTAGGAAAAAAGTTGAGGTTCCCTCCAAAATTAATTGACAATGGGAGGAGTAGCATTATAAGCCCTTGCTAGGTTTCTCCCGAAGTTAAAAGGAGAAAGTCTTGGATGATGCGGCAATCACCCGTCTAACACCTCTTACAAGTAAGCGGGATCTCCTACATTTTGGTCTCATCCGATTCTACATCTACTCAGTTATAAGAGAGACTCAACAACAACAAGTGACATAGTTCAACCGCCTCACCCTCTCTGAGACTTCAAAATCAATTTTCTAGGTAACCAAATCCATTCCCGCATCGTCCAGTTGATATTTACCGGTGATTATTTTTATTGAATAATTCGATCAAAATGTACTCAAAATGTGGGCTTGTAGGTGATGGGTTTAGAGTGTTTGATGAAATGCCTGACAGAAACCTTGTCACTTGGACTTTGATGATCTCGGCTGCTGTCCAAGATGGTCAATTTGAATGGGGATTGGAAATTAATTTGGGATTAATGAGAAGTGGGTTGAGGCCGAATGAATTCACTATTGTCAGTGTTCTCAAGGGGCGTGCAGAGTGTGCTAGTACCATACCAAAGCATATGAATTTGGCATGAGTGTTCATTGTTTTGCTTTGAAAGTTGGTATTGAACAGAATTAAGAATTTCTATATGGGTGGTTCTATTTTGAACATGTAGCTGGAGGATATTGAATCGGCTAAAGGAGTGATTGAATCTATGTTAAATCTTGATACTGCTGGTTGGAATACTATGATTGGAGGGTATGCTCAATGCGGCAATGGCCTTGGAGCCTTGAGGCCTTGGAGCCTTGAGGCCTTGAAGCCTTGAAGCCTTGAAGCCTTGAAGGAATGCCTTATACTCCTTGGCCTGCTATATTGAGGTCCTTGCTTAGTGGTTGTCGGATACGTGGGAACATAGAGTTGGGAGAATGGACTGCAAAGAATTTAGTTCCAGAAAATGATGTATCTTATGTACTATTGTCAAAGGTTTACTCTCAAGGAGGTAGTTGGGAAGATGCTACAAAGATAAGGAGGGAAATGATAGAAGGAGGTGTGCCAAAAAATACTGGATATAGTTGGATCAAGGTATGGCGAGAAACCAATTGGACAGAAATGTGAAACCGGGCCATGAAAAATGGTAAGTTTGTTCACATTTTGAAGATTTTAGTCGACTAATGCAGCAAAATGTAAATGGCACAGAACAATTAGCATGGTCTGTAGGAAGGAGTAAGGATATATATCATTAGTTGTTTTGCAACCTCTTTTTGTCCTTTATATTGCAGTTCTTGGCAACGAGTGATGAAGCAGAACTTGATGGTCCTCATCCCACTTCTGGTCTAAGCACTAAAAGAGCAGTAGCAAAAGCAAACGACCAACCAACAAGTACATGTAAGAAGTTGGGGACCAGTCGAACTAAGTTAACAGGAGGAACCAACAGCGCAAAGTTTGCACCTGAAAATCCTTATGCTCCTCTGCTATCAGCCAAATGTTACTGATGCAATCAATCTGGTTATGGTTCTAATGTGTTAGAAACAAAATTGATTCAGATAGAAGAGGATCTGAACATGCAGGAGGTTGAGGTAAGGTAGCCTAGGAGGGCGATTAATAATTTGACAAGAAAACAGTCACAAATAAAAACAATCACCACACTTTGCAGAAGGCTACTTACAACAAAACAGTCACCCTAATATCTTTAGGTTGTGGCTTATGAACCAAGAAATTTAAACAGCAAACAGTCAAATGTTTCGTGCAATTATGCAAAGGGTTTTAAGCTTAATGCAAAAGCCTGTAGGTGTTGCTGAGTGTGGCCTTTGCTACTGGTCCAGTTGTGTGATAAGCATTGGATTGAAGCTTCTATATGGCCTTGACTTGAAAAGTCTCTCAAAGTATGAAATCTTCAGTCCCTTTTGCCTTGCCGTGTCTGCGCGAACCCAGCGTGAATTATCTCCTGGTTGACCAGTGACTATAACAGTAGTACTTTTTTCTGCAAAATTAGTTAAGGTCACTGCTGTTTCCGGCTCAATGGCAGATGAAGCATCCACCAGAAAAATATGACTAAAATATCCAGAAGTTAGGCCTTTATCATATAGCCGAAAGCTACTCATGAGAGTTGAGAAAATCACCCTGAATTTTTTAAGCTTCTCAGTTGGAGGACAAGAGAAATAAGGGTCTTGGTAAAGGCATGATGGGAGGATGTCATCAGGAACCTCATCTTTCTCACGGAATGCAGCGTTGGCTCGAAACATATCTGACTCTGGAATCACTTCCAACAAGCTTCTCATAATCCCATCACAACAGCAGTTACTAGGAGCACATATCAGAATCCTATTTTTGAGTGAGGTTTGACATAACTGGTGCACTGCTTCACAAACAACCGCTCCAGTTCTCGACGGCCTAAAAACGTTCCTTTCAACACAAAGCTGGCCAGCCACCAAGTAAGGTGGTGAGCCCTGAATGCTTAAAATTTGACGAACAGCAGATAATTGTTTGGCGTCAAGTTTGTGACGGCCAGACAGCAGCGCTGGTGCGGTGGGAATGCTCGTACGGGAAACACCATCAGGAAAGAGGAAGTTCTTAAACAAAGTATCCGCTGCTGTTTGAACTGCTTGGTGAGCTCTTTTCAAACATACTCTATTGAATGAGAAGCTGACATCATATTTTTGGGTCGAATCATGATAATCATAAAATTCATCTTCAAATTCCACTAATACAAGATTGCTCCTAATAATGCGATTTATAATGCCCTGCATAACATGTAATAAGATAATTATAATGCGGATAGTTTTAAGAAATTTCCATATGTTGATGGATGTTCAGAGTTTACCTGAAACTGCTCAGCATTTGTACCTGATGGCCGTACATAGACTAAGTCCCTCGACAAAAGGAATGGCCGATTTTCAGGAACAGAATCAATCATAAATTCTACGAAGGTTTTCTCTTCCTTGTCTAGATTTTTGTAAACTGCTGCTTTTTGCAACTTCAGTGTCACATTCTTCATATTGAAATCAACCCATTTCTGGTTCAAATAACAACAAAGGTTTTTTTTTCTTTCTTTCAAAGTAAGCATGAATAATCATACAAAATTTAGAAAAGAAGAATGTTGTACCACAGCATTCTACATTCCATCGTTCATACCACAGCTCTTAAGACATTCTTTTTGTCTTTTGGATCAGTATTTAGATTTGTCTTTTGGCATCAAAATTTAGTTGCAAAGGCATGTACATGAAACTCAAATCATTTTAAAACAATAGCCAGTCACCAATGCAAACAAAGAAGTATCAAGTATAATTAACCATTCAAATCTTTGTACAGAGAAAAATGATTACTAATATGAAATAAGCTATGTTTTGCTAATCATTCAAAACTGTGCTATATAATCAACATTGAAATCACATATTTTGTCAAATCTTCCGAAAATTGAAACTTAGAGAAGTGCTTTACACACATATTTATATAAATGGTATGATATCTGTCATAATTTTCTTCACTATCTTGTTAAGAAGAAAAGGCATTACAAATGGGCAAGATTCTTGCATACCTCATGGTAGAACTCTTCAGCGTATAACAGAGCAGCAAAGTAATCCTTATATGTCGTGGAAGACAGAGGCTGTTTAAGAACTTTAGGCACAATGTCATTCTTGATCAAATCTTTGAAATCCTCAGGAATCGTGAATATAGGTAATGAACCCTTTTCAACCACCGCTACATAATTTTTCTTCCCCTTCTCAGTTATTACATCTGAGGAGGCTGGGGATAGAACTTGCTTAAAGATTGGAGGGAGCGTAGTGGAAGACGCTGGCCGTCCCGAGGATGGAGATGGTTTTGAATATGTTGGAGGATTTGGTGATGATGAATGTGATTTTGATGACGCCTGAGGTGGTTTAGAGGATGATGAAGATGAACTAAAGGGAGATTTGACTGGTTGAGATGGAGGTGATGGGGCTTTGTAGTTATAGAAGGCTGGAGATTGATTAGTAGAAGTCAAGGGTGGCGAGCGGTTTCTATCGGAAGAATCATAAGTTTGTCTGGCAATTTGATTATAATCATAATTCTCACGCTCACCTTCAATACGAAAGAGGCGTTTCAAAATTTCAAGAAAAATTGACATGGTGTCCCTCTTTCTATGATAAAAAACACACAAGTCAAGCAACCAGTTGAGATACCAAAGACAAAGATCATCTGAGTTACAATGTTACATACAAATGAATTGAAAAGAGGAAGCTGAAGCTGAAGGAATGAAAAGCCAACATGAAAAAGGAATACAAAAAAAAAAAAAAGAAAAAGAAAATAAAAAAAAAAAAAAAAAAAAAAACACACAGAGTCACCTGCCTGCCTTAATGAGTGAGTGTTGTTGACGAACCAACGACTGAAGAGGTCTTTGCTATTAAGGAAGGAATATAGTACATGCAAAGTCACACAGAGTCCCAAAGGTTGATGCTACTTTAGTCCTTTTCCTCTTTCCTTTTAATTTTTTTTTGGGTGAAACAATTATTTGACATTGGTGAGATTCAAACTTTCCATTGAAAATTATAAACGATACTTTCTCTCCCAACTCTTGGTCCATCTTATATGTGTAAGCTGATCATGGTGAACAGTTCTCATGTGGTAGACTTATCTTGTATTTTGTAGCTTGTAATTAGGGCTCTTTGTAAACAACTCTTTCATCTCATGCATTATTATAATTTATACGTGACACAATTACTACTACACTGGCTTCTACTCTTTTATTCTAGCTAAATAGAGAAGTCTAGCAGAAAGTCTTGAGTGAGACCGTCATCACCCGTCCGAGTACTCCATGAAGAAGCGTTGCATTTTTGTGAGGGTGACCAGACGAGTGACGTGGTTCAACCATCTCACCCAAGACCTTGTCCAATTTAGGACACCAAATTACACTACCGGTCCCACTCCTACCTTGGCTCTCGCCACATCAGCAAAAGGGACCCACCCAGCTAAAGTGTTTTCCTCTATTAGTCGAGAGTGAATCTCCCCCCCTCGCAAATTGAGTTCTAACCTAATTTCTGTTTGTTTATAACAATTTACAGATCTTATAGTCAAATTTGTGTTTTCTAACTAAATTTGATTTTGCACATATTTGACACAATAAATTAATTTATGAGCTAAATGGTGACATGAAAAAACCACAATATTAAACGAGTTTTTTTCAATAATAGCCAAAATTTAACCCCCAAATTCATAAATGTCAGTTTTTATTAAAACTTTCAAATATAGCCAAAAATCCACGTAAATAGTCGAAAATGCCCTCAAAATTTAAATAACCTAAAAACATAGTTCATCTCCATGGGGACCATCTGTTCACATCATATCAGTTTTTATCCGATGTGTCTTCTTTGCTTCACAAGCTTATATTGCAATCTTGCTTATAAACTTAATTCATGTTGAGGTTCATGATGGGAAGAGTGACAGAGATTTATAAGAAACTTGAAGAGGATTTTGGGGAGACAGTACTTTGTTCCCCAAAGTTTGATCTGCAGACTGTACTTGCGGTATCACCACTTCTGATTGCTGCTTTTGCTGGTGTTAGAGGTGTTCCATTAACCCCAAAAGCAAACCATGTTAGAACTCCTCACACTGCCGCCTTCACGAGGTAATAGTCCCTCGTGATGGATAGAACAATGATGTGCCTTCTTCCACATGCTTTCTTTTCATTTTATACTTTGAACTTAGGGATGAAACTAAGAAACTATGGAACAATGGTGTGCCTTCTTCCAGATTAGACATTCTTTGAACTTAGGGATGAAACTAAGAAACTATGGAACAATGTTGTGCCTTCTTCCAGATCAGACATTCTTTCTATCAATTCAAGGAGGG